ACAAGAAATGCGCTAAAAATCTTTCCTTGCCTCACGCATATCTTTAACATTTCTTTAATGACTGGGATTGTCCCAAGAATCTGGAAAAGAGCTATGGTTGTGCCCATACCTAAGTGTGCATGTGCAAAAAAGGTTTCCGAGTTTAGGCCAATTAGCATTTTGCTACGCCCTGTAAGATCATGGAGAAAATCTTGGCAAAATCTATCCTAAAATGGTGCTTAGAAAACCACTTTTTACCCGATGAACAACATGGATTCATACCCGGCTCCTCTACATCTACACAACTGGTAAAATGTTGCCAAGATTGGATTATGGCATTTAGTGAAGGCAAATCAGTTGATATCATTCATTTCGACTTAAGTAAAGCATTCGATTTGGTCAATCATACTGAGCTTCTCGTGAAACTTGAGAGCATAGGCATTAGAACCAATTTTTCAAATTGGTTCAAATCATACCTATCTGAACGGACCTTTGAAGTTCTTTTCCGAGGTCAAAAGTCTACAGCAAAACCCTGTACGCCAGGTGTTCCTCGAGGAAGTGCTCTCTCCCCACTGTTATTTAACATCTATACTATGGAACTACCAAATGTATTGAGAATTGGTTCTCGTATTAGTGTAGCAGCTTACGCTGATGACATTAAAATCTATGGTAGTTACGATGACAATAGTAGTCTAGTAATACGCGAAAAGTTGAAATTGTCTGTTCATCAAATGCTGCAATGGGCAAGAATGGGGAATCAAAGTTAATTCATCCAAAAGTCAGATACTGAAATTAGGCGCAGATTCGACTGTGTTCGATTATGGAATTCCCTTACAAGTTCAGCAAAATGTTAGGCTTTGGCCATACTTTGCCCGTGTTGCCGGTGTTGAAAGTGTTGCCGGTGTTGAAAGTGTTGAAAGTGTTGAAAGTGTTGAAAGTGTTGAAAGTGTTGCCGGTGTTGAAAGTGTTGAAAGTGTTGCCGGTGTTGAAAGTGTTGAACGGAGGTCATCAGTCTAGTAGTTTCATTCTTTCTCGAACGATCTCAACGGCTGGTGAATACGTTGGAAATGGAATTGGGGAATAAGAAATGAAACTGAAATAAGATGGGGAATGTTTTCGCATGCAAAAGACCCTCAAACAAACTTTTTGAAAAGTGGACGGCTTGTCTGGAATAGGCAATCTCCAATATTTGAAAAGCTGAAGTCTGAGTAGTAATATGTGTTTTAGTTCGAATCCTGCCGCGCTTGCGATTAGTGAGTAAAGGACCTAAGTGAGGTTTGCAGCGTTTTCCTATTCCAGACAAGCCGTCCACTTTTCAAAAAGTTTGTTTGAGGATCTTTTGCATGCGAAAACATTCCCCATCTCATTTCAGTTTCATTTTTCTTTCCCCAATTCCATTTCCAACGTATTCACCAGCCGTTGAGATCGTTCGAGAAAGAATGAAACTACTAGACTGATGACCTCCGTTCAACACTTTCAACACCGGCAACACTTTCAACACTTTCAACACCGGCAACACTTTCAACACTTTCAACACTTTCAACACTTTCAACACCGGCAACACCGGCGAAGTATGGCCAAAGCCTTAAGGGCCTTGGAGTGGTTGTTGATTCCTCTTTCAAATATTCATTACACATTGATAATATTGTTTGCAAGGCCAAACGCACAATGTACACCTTACTAAGAAACGTACATGTACATGATATCGACATCTGGCTGAAACTCTGAAAAGCTTACGTACTTCCTGTCTTGGAATATTGCAGTCCAGTTTGGAATCCTGATGTCAAAAAAGTGATCGAAAAATTGGAAAAAGTTCAACGTACATTCACTAGAATCTTATTCTACCGAATATTCCCAAATTCTGATTACCCACAGGCTCTTCCTGATTATAAAACTAGACTAACCATGCTAGGACTCAAAAGCTTATATCACAGGAGGTTATTAGCTGACATATTGCTAGCATACGAGATCTTCAAATCTGAAACACGTTTGAGATTTTCGGACTTCTGTATTTTACGTCCCACTAGTATCCGTCGTTTTAGAATTAACGCCTACACACATAAATCCAAAGGATGGCGAAAACGTAGCCTACAGAATTCATTTGGTGCCCGCATGTGTCACATACTGAATAAACTTCCTATGGAACTAATAACCTTGGATCCACATAAATTAAGGAAATTCCTAATCGAACATAATTACCTTGACAAATTTAGTTCACATTGTATTTAACTTCTCTGTTTGAATTTTTTGTCTCCCTATGATTACGTTCCTTTACTACTGCATTTTTCAAAGCATGTTTCGGGAGACAAAATGCAAGTGATAGTTCTTTATTCGCATCTACTTTCATATCGTATCCTTTTTCCTTTCTCGTCGATTCTGACTCCTCTCGATTGTACAGTTCAAGAAAATCTCCCAATATACCGATAACAAGGAAACTACTACTTACTCACGATTGTATTAAAGAACCCTGCTAATTGATTTTTATGTACTTCATCTAGACAACTCATTGCACATTATTGGAAGCTTTGAACTCGCACATCAATCAGCATTTCGTTGCTCAAATATGGAGTTAGTGAAGGAACCAACGGACACATGTATGTATGTATGTATGTATGTATGTATGTATGTATGTATGTATGTATGTATGTATGTATGTATGTATGTATGTATGTATATGGATGGATGGATGGATGGATGGATGGAATGGACGATTCGATGGATGGACTGATGGATGGAGGGTACATCATGTACTTGAAAATGACCTGCTACAAGTAATACTTCATAACACTTCATTATTTTGAGCGCAATACATACTACTTATACTGGTCGCTATGCATGTGTTCGAAGCTCCTGATAATGTGCAAGAAATCCATTGATAGAAACGTTAGACCGAAATAAAGAACTTAACAAACCTGCGTGGCTTACAACATAACTCATGAATTCAAACAATGCCCAGGTTTCATGATCAGAGAACGTATAGAATCCATTGATATTTTTTGAGACCTGATTCATAACACCATTGCCATCCAATTTACTCTACATTATTTACCTTCAAACACCATCAAATACATACTTTCCCCAGAAGTTACACTTACAACAACGTCATTCGCGGCCTTATCAGCAGCCCATGAGCTTTTCCTCTTCCTGAACTTATATAAGAACTCTATAAGATTTGTTATTCGGATACGACTCAAATTCAAAATCATTCTTGCCTTTTTCTCTCACCCCCGTTCCATATTTATTTACCTGTCTGTATCTCATTTGTGAGGTGGTGCATCGTTTACGATGTATTTGATAAATAAATAAATAAATAAATAAATAAATAAATAAATAAGAAAGCCCTAACAGACATAGTAAGTCCCACTTCTTAAGTATGCATGTCAACTGAATGTGAATTAAGCTTTAGCGATTTCTGAGGTTTTCAAATATCGGCAGAAATGAAGTGAGTGAAATGAAAGTGAAATGTTCATTTTCCCTATTATACAAGGCATTAAGAGCAGTTCGATTCGGCGATTTGAAAATGTCGAAAGAAGCGCTGGGATAGTTTTAAACATCACTTTTGATGTTCTTATATTAATGGTTGCCTGGGTGAACAGAGAATCGCCTACTGTTCCGCGCATAAAGGACTCTGCTTCTAACCCTGTATGCAAAAGACTTTTGCTTTATCTACAGTGCATATTAGATTTGAGAGATTTCTCGAGTCGAGATTCTTTCTTCCATATTAGACACTGTGAACACTTGGCGATGTTCTCAATTATGTTTCATCAAGTATCTCATTGCGAATGATAATGTTAATTGTGAGGAGAGTCGCACAAAGATGTTAGTTTTCCCACCATTGGCTAAAAAGTTTGTGTGAAAAAGAAAGCAAACTTTGACTTGCTAAAATGTTAGGAGGAAAAGGAATCAAACTTTTAATCTCTACTTCGTAGTCTTCTCGCTTATCCACTGCACCAGTCAACCACATTTTGTTGTTCGTTAGAATCGCACTCAACGAAAAAAATGTCAATGCGGAAATCAGGGCTCGTAACTTTTTCTCACCCCCCCCCCCCCGGCATATAATGAATTATACAGATCTGAGATCAGCGTTTTACGCTTACCTCTTCTGCCCTAGCTTTACTGGCACTTCCAGGTTTGTGTCCTTTCCTGTTCACAAGTAGAAACTTGTAACCACAAGAGCAAGCTTGTTTTGACAATGTGTGCAAAGCAATTTCGAGTCCCTTAGTCGCGGATTGAAGAATATACAGGGCTTTACAACCTGAATGTCACAACCGCCCCCGCTCGGCCGCCACGCTTACGGCGGCGCAGCGTTCGTGGCGCAAGCTGCGCGTCGACTGAAGTTTCGCAAGATGCCCGGGCGATGCGCCGCACGCCGCGCGCGGCCTGAGCGAGGCGGCCGCGTTGGAGGGGCCGCGCAAGCGGAGGCTGTGACTCTTATGTTGAAAAGCCCTGTATGTTCCACAGCCAAGCGCAAGTCATAGTAGGTGGCACCACACCTTGTCATATAATCACTTATAAACAGTGTTTCCAAGCAAACATCGTCACCACAGGAGCACTATATAGACCGTCAAATTAATTGCTCTCTACAAACGCTCAGGCAAGTGTATGATTGCAAATATTTGACAATTTGCAGAACAATCTCGTTGAGCACTCTGAGGTAGGTATTGTAATTCATTATGTTATAAAATTATTAAATGTATTATTTTAAGTATTATAAAGTTGTTAGCAAAAATAGCGTCTGAATCCGCAGTAAGTGAATAGGGCAAAGTATAAGCTTAGGCAAAACCTCATAATTATCATGTGATTACAATTTGAAATGTATTTTGAAGTTTTCAGTAAAAAAATCTACGCTTTCAAAAGCAGCTCGATGGACTGTGATTTTGCTGTCACCCTGAGCATAGCGAACGACACAGGCTTTGCCATCATCTTTCAGCAGTGTGCGCACCTAAAACGCTAGAGTAATAATATTTTGAAGCTTGCATTGAAATAAAATGCAAATTCAAAATGTATTTTTTAGCGCTTACTGAGCAAAGGACATCCGACAGCAAATTCATACATACATTAGACTTCCACTCCAGACCTACTCGCTTGCGAAGATCATCCGTGTGCACAACGTCAACCTATATAATACAATGATTCATATGTAGTGAGCAACTTTGCGAAGAATTTTTACCTTGGCGACGATACCATTATCATCACGATAGCCAACGACGATGTCACGAATGCCCAGTAAAGAAGACTGAAGTCACCATCGCAGACTTTTATATCTCCAAAAACCCTCAGTAAGAGAGTAACGCTGAATTTTCAGTTCAACGATGTCGTCTTCTGAATTAATTGCTATATGTTTTATTGCTAGAGTAGAAAAATGGAATTACCAGCGTTGATTGCGTCCACCTCCCCGCTGTAAACTAATTTCAGTGGTAGCCCGGATTTGGTAGTCAGTGTGGAACAGACCACTGCTGCGAATTCGTCGCGACAAGTGACAGCATCATCTGTTCTTGGAATTCCCTGACAACCAGGAGTTAATTGTAACTTTGCGATTTAGAGGAATCTGTTCAAGAACAAATAAAACAAAATCGCCGCATAAGTTATGTATAAAATGACTTAAGTGAAATTAAGCAAAGCATGTTATTTACCATATTTACCATATTATGTCGCCTTTTACATGACGTATGCGCTCGTCCTTATTCCATAGCACTTCAGCGTTTTACCATGAAGGCAATGTCCCGGTAGAATTCGAAATTCTCTTACTTTTACTTATTCCAATCTTTCCGTCCCGCTTTACCCGAATATGGGCTTTCGAGCGCGTGAAAAGACTTCGCGCTTTCCTGCTTTCGAAAAGAGAGTCCGGACGAGAGTTTAGCTTTGAAGTGCTTGGGAGCATAGTGAGTGTACGAGCGGTAGCGGGTCCCGTGCAGACTACGTACAACGCGCGCAAATTCAAAAGACGTTTCCTTTGTGGACACCGGACAGGATCTGATGCGTATCGGCCAGGGGATCAACACTGTTCAGCTGTAGCCGTTTTTCTGATGACTCATGTCTGCCGGGACACTACCTTCAAAGAAAATTCAAATGGCGACCATAGTAAAGCTTACGTTTCTTTCTTTCACTGTCATGTATTGTTCAAACTTAAATCCCCAGTAAGTCATCAGCTGTTCTCGCGGTGTCATGGACTTCATCAGTTGGTAATGTTCACCCTCGCAAAGAAAAATCACATCTTCCACGCGAGCAGCTGCAAATTCCCAATCTCTGGAAGTGTATGGAGTAGCTGCAATTCGCGTTAAGAGTCCACGCCGGCACACAATGTCGGCCTCGTGAAGCACCTAGATAAATTACTTGATATGAAATAAATGCAAAAGAATAGCCACATCACCTTTTTTAGAGAATCTTTCTCGGGTGCTTGGGATACAATCCATTCCAAAAGAACTTCAAGTTTTTTCTCTTCCTGTAATAAGGCAAATTGTATAAAGTTCAACCCAAAGTAATCTACCTTATCCTCAAATGTATCAAATCCTATGTTCAAATCAAACTCCACTTTTGCTTCATTATCCAGTGCTGCTTCATAAAGATATCTTGCGTTTTTTCTACCCGGTACCAAAGGTTTATTGCGGGTCTTCTGCAAAGTATTATGAACTGAAAATCTCCTCCAAAAGAATCGGTCATCTACATACACTGTACTCGCCGAGTTTTTGTGGTGTTCCAAGTTCTGCATGCGGAAGGTCATCATATCTGATGGGTATTGTTACTAGTATACTGTCATCCATGTCAAACGACATCGAACAAAAAGTAAACTTATTTTGTTCTCCTGAAATGTTTTTGATCCTATATTTTCTGTTTTAGCTAGCAGAGCTTTGAAGGCAACGTTTACCCTGAACTAAAGGTCTTGAGTTATTGGGAGCTTACGATAGTAGGGCCCGATAGCTTGGCTATAAAGCCAATACCCCCAGGTGTCGGCGCAAAATGTCGCTTCGGAATAGCAAAGAGGCTCACTTCGGAACAGCAAAGAGGCATGAGGACCTTAAGTCGGCACCGCCCCCTCCAGTGATGCCCGCCCCTCCGTGCGCGCCCATCCAATCACCGTTCCGGAAATCGGCCTGTGGATTTTTGGGCACGGAAAATGCCGGTTTCGCGATTTCTCGACATCACAATCAAATCAGGGACATGAGAAGGCTCGAAACGACCAAAACATGGAAGTCGAGAACCTGGGTAGACGATGCCTTCAACTACTTGGAGTCCGTTTTTACATAAATTTAGACATTTTTGTGAACGCTGCAAAACTCTAATGGGTACCTGACCATTGTGAAATCAAAAAAAGACGTGCGTGGACAAGATTTTACTACTTAGTTAGACGTAACTTATACTTCCTTGTATTATTTTGATGCATGATTAATGCAGTTACTGATTCTCATGTGGCAGAAGGTATAAAAATTTATGAGACAACTTTTAATATAGAACAAAGCAGGGCTTACAAAATAGTTTTTGAACATCCTAGAAAGTTTGGTACACGGAAAATTAGGAAGAAAAATTCAAGGTTTTCCGAGTGTTCAAAAAAACAGATCTTTTTTTCAGAAGAATCCTACAGACCTCTTAGAACAAAAATTACTTCGCCCATCAGACATGTGTATGTGCTCTTACTGTATTTTTTTCTATGACTTGAAGTTAAGATAATAGAACTCAGCATCTTTCAACAAAACCACTGCTGGGCTGTCCCGACACAAATCTCTATACTACAAGCTATGGGAGTATCACAATATATGTTGAGCCCTTTTGAGGAGTTGGTTGCGAGCAATATCAATTTTAACCTTTTAACCCGAAAAAGGCGATATGTTCAATTTAGCCTGATTTTATTTATGAACTTCTTGTTGCCAAAAAATACGACAAGTTTACATAGGGCAGTGGCGTACCCAGGATTCCCGCGGGTGGGGGGGGGGGGGCAAAAGCCACGCACTCCGAAAAATTTTAGGGGTGCTTCTCAAAATTTTTGCAACCCCTAAAATCTGGAAAAAGGGCCGTGGCATCAGCCACGCCCCCGAAAAAATTTTCTTTACAAGGCTAATTTGAACTTCCACAAATTTTCAAAAATTATTTTAATTATCTGCAAGTGTAAACAAGTCACTTGCACATATTCATAACCCATATAAATAACTCTCAAAAATTTCGCGACTCATTCTCGGCGCCCCTCCTCCTCCCCTCCCCGGTACGCCAGTGACATACGGATATCTTATGTGTATAGTATTGGGTTGTTTCAAAAGTTCTACCCGTTTTCGAACTTTGACTTTGATTCACCGTAACTCTTCTCAAATATAATCTTCGCAACTGCTATAAACTGTATTACAATCTGCAAATCTTTGGCTATTCTGCGTACTCTTTAAGATTATTGTAATAACAGTGGAGAAGATTTTATAGGCGAAAATCGAGGAACATCTCCTTGTAAAACCTTCACTTTGCAAAAGCATATTTTGATTTGGAATATAGCTGAGTTGCACAAGCGCCGCTCACAGTGTAGCCCATAGTCGACCGAGCAGTACCGCTAACTTTGGATTTCATCAAACTCTTTCATAAAAATTTTGTGCTGAAAAATCCGAAAGGACCCACTTATTTTGCTCTTAACGAGGCGGCAAAAAATGCAATTCTTTGGCATTTTTGATTTTCTTCGCCGTTGACAAACCAGGAGATCTTTTCGTTCTTCTAGTAACAGTTGTTCTAGCTCTAATCTTACTATATAGAGTAAAAGTTTCGCGATTGCAATAGGTTCACGATTTTTGTGCGACTTGAAGGATAGGTTATGAAGAAGATAGGTTATGTTTGAGCTAAAAATTTGTAGGTTCAAAATTTTTGTGAAATCATATCTCGATGAGCTTTTCACAGGACAGGTCTCCAGCAAACATTATGTATGTTTTAGAAGAAATTTTTTCTTTTGGCTAGATTTCACGACGATAAAGCAAAGACGAAAATTTTCACATTTGTTTCGCTGTCTTTTCAAAGTACGCAATCACACAGCGAACAAAGATCTGTGAAAAAGAAATTATGCCTGAAAAAGAAGAAAAGAGCTTTTGAGTGATATAAGCATTGTTTATGAAAAATGGTTTCTTCCTTCAAAATCGGCAGTTCAAAAAAAGGTATCGAAAACGGGTAGAACTTTTGAAACAACCCAATATATGCTTGACCAAGTTGAAAATTCGCAAAATCTTTCTGGACGGATATGTGATTTTTAGTTGTTCAAAATTTTCTAGATTTCTTCCTTCGAATTTCACGCAGATCGAATCGTTTGCACTTGTACAAACACTATCTTGTACAGTTTGCATTGCTCTATCGAATACTTTATTTCAAACACTTTTATACCTTCCCTGCAACTTTAAAATTAGGAACATGCATTAATTTTGCATCAGCCTAATAATCACGCTCCGACACTTCTTCTCATAGTGTTTTTTGATTTTGATTCTTGACCGCAATGGCAATATTCTATTTGGTTATAACACTTTAGTACATTTGATTAGAGTATCAAGAGCTTTTCTGGATGGCTTTTAAACATTCACTCCAAGACAATTCAAATGATTCAGAGCGAGGGTCGAAATTTCGAAACTTCTAGATCTCGAATGATATTTGATAGTCAAATGTTCGAAAATTTCGATTTCAAATAATTTTCGAGAGTCGAATATCTGAAATTTCTGATTTTGAATATTATGCACCTAGATAAACATTCGATATTCGAACAGAATAGTCGCAACTTGCTTGGGTAATTCAATATCCGAAATTTCGTGATTTCGTGAGACATGCAAAGGTGAACACTCAAGTACTTCGAATTTTGAATCAATTTGACAGTCGAAAATTGGCAATCTTCGATTTCTTATACATGCGATAACGGAAAATTTTTCGATTTTCACTAACAAGGGAAGGATACTTGGTCAAAGTGGTGCTTCCATAAGGAATGTATACTGTCTTATAGAGCATGGAATGGCTGATTCCACTTCTGCTTTCGGTATCTGCAAAGCGCTTTTGGTATACATTGGTTCTGAGAGTTTTTTAAGGCAAAAATTCAAGGTTTTGGTTGAGGTAAAACGAATATTGAGGTCTTTTAGACGTTTGAACAAAATAACGACTAGCTCCTAGTTTTTAGAATGAAGATATTGACTGCAAGAAGCGCCTGGCGGTAACCATGATCCCCCCAAGCTCACAAACTACAATTCTGAAAGATTTTATTGTAATTGGATCTCGAAATCTCTGCGTCAAAAAATTTCCATAACTTCCCTCCCAAAAGCGCTTTGCAGATACCGATAGCAGACGGAGTCGGCATTCCATGCTCTCTCTATAAGACAATATATATTTTCTATGGAAACGCCACTTCGACCAAGTATCCTTCCCTTGTAAGTGAGTAGCTACTAAAGAAAAGAAACATGAGTTTAACGATAGAGTTTGACCACTACAAAGAACATATCAAGCGGTGCAAAAATAGTATTGCTAGTTATCCTTCATCCACAATCTCAACGATCATTGATTGCTGATTATGGGTATTTATAATCAACATTTGAACTATGCCACTGGAATAAAAAATAGCAACGAAAGAAGTGAAGGTGTCAGCATATTATTTGTAACACTGCAAAAAATGAAAAAAGGATAATAAGATTTAGTCAGAAAAAACGCTTGAAAGCCTAAACGATCAAGCCACGACCGAGTTTAAGTATCAGCAATTAGGTATTGGTGAGCCAACATGATATGTCACCTTAGCAACGAAAAGCATAAGGAAGAAAAGGTGTGAGCGCATGAATTATAGGACTTTTCATACCTATAGATGGCTATAAGTCTTCTCAAGTTTTCTCGGACAAATAAAAAACTTTAGAAGTGGAAATATCTGCCGATAAACAACCCACTCATAGTAGTAGAAGTAGCAACTCAGGAAGAAAAGAAACAGAGACTAACTAAGCAAGAAGGAATTTACAGTGCTAATCATTAAACCAACTACTGCTCATTCCATGAATGCTGCGTAGCGTCTATGTCTTCGGCACTCATGGCTAACATGTTAACAACATGTTCACAATAACGCTACAAGTCAAACATTGTTGCTGACATGTTTTTGCATGTGGCTAACATGTTAGACATTATATTAAAGGCAGTGTCTCATCAAAATTTAGTTGCCGAGTTTTTTGCATTTTGCAAGCCTTTTGGACCCTGTCTAGCACTGTATGGGCCTAAAATCGCACGAAGTTCCCAAAAACCTCGTTTTCTGGAGGCCCTGCGGAAGCAACGTGGACGAGTTGTACCTTCCAACTTCAGCCTCAACCACAGTGGCAGCAACGTAGGGGAGGTGGATGCCAAGTGGAGGGACATGTTCAAACGCGTAGGGGGGGGGGGGGCGGGAGACCGAAGGAGTCGTCCGCGCGTACCAAGTCGCTCTTCGCGTACCATTTTAGCGCATTTTTCTCAGCGTGGAGGGGGTCAAATTGAGTGGGACTTGTTGCAATGGCCTATTTAGAGGTCCCTATAATAGAATATGTGAAAATCCGCGCGACCTCAACTTTGGTGAAACAGGGGGTCAAATTGAGTGGGACTTGTTGCAATGGCCTATTTAGAGGTCCCTATAATAGAATATGTGAAAATCCGCGCGACCTCAACTTTGGTGAAACACTGCCTTTAGTGTCCCGAAAGTTTTGTCGGTTTCTTTCATCGATCGCTAAAGCCCACAGAACACCAATGGACGGACGACCTAGGTACCGGGTAAAGTTCGATTCAAATTCTTATTTTTTTGCTCAGCTATAGGTGCTCTTTGATTTATGCTGTC